AGGGGTGCCATTTGAAAAGTTCGACTTACGGGTGGGGCACCCCCCGCCCCGCGCCCCTCCCGCGGTTTGGGAAAATGTCGAATACGCCAAAAGGTGTCCCCCTCGATATAAACGAACACGTCTTTTACCGTTTTTCGAAATTCCGACGCGTTCGGCAGATATTCAAGGTGGCTCGTTTTTCGTGAGACACCCTGTATAATAAAAATTAAATTAAACGAATCATTTGAAATTTTGGGACATGTTTTTAATGTTTCAAAAGCTAGAATTTCACAGATCATCTGGGAAACAGCACCTGTTATGGCTGCCTTCTTAAATTCCTTAATTCGATGGCCTTCTCCTTCCATCATAAAGTCTAAAGTTCCAACTGCATTTCGAATTAATTTTAGTGATGTCCAATCTATTATCGACTGCTTCGAAGTACAGATAGAGCGACCTGGAGATGCAGTTGCACAGGCCCGCTTCTGGTCTGAGTACAAAAAAAGGTCATACTGTCAAGTTCCTTATTTCCTGTACACCGGATGGTTTAATTAATTTTGTTTCGCAAGGTTATGGTGGTAGAACTACTGATGTTGCCATTGTGAAATACAGCGGATACATGGAAGAATTACCAGTTAACGCAATCGTAATGGCAGATCGTGGCTTGAAACATGTTTCATGAGACATTTTATTCTATCGATGAATTCCGGATGTAATTAATTCTTAATGTGTGCAAATTGTGGGCGTGTATCATATAGCTCTCCATTGTGGCTAATCTATACTAAATAAAGATTATTGTTAACTTAAAGAGAAGAGTCAGAAAAAATTTTGAAACGCAGCAAGTGAGTGACAGACATTGAATTCCTTGAGAAAAAAGGAACCAAATGTTTGTTTGGGGTTCCTCATTGTGTATGGTTTTTTATTAACTAAATTAGAGTTATTAAAACCTCATAAATTGTAAAATCATCATGTCTTTTCTTATGAAGGGTAAAAATTGGACAGCTTGCAAACGTGTAATGGTTACTGCTAAAATAGACAGGGCACTAAACGTAAAATTAGGTACATACTTCAGCGGAGGGCAGGTGAAACCGATAAGATTCCTCCAAGATAAGAATGTCGTCGCGCAGTTCCAATCAGTTGGGGTTTCTCCACCCTTTGCTGCAGTGGAAAACGTGGTGGACGTAACTAGACCAAAACGCCTATCTTTCAGCTGCAGGGAAGGGCGGAACATAACATGCCCCCACGAGAGGAACTGCGATACCGACGTGTCTTATGCGACGAAGATAACTGTTTTATCCTTGAATATGAATCCGCAGAAGCATCTTAAACTTATAAAAAACTGGATAAAGAGGACCGCCTCAAGGAGCCGAACCCTCAAAGCGTTACAGTTGCAAATGCAAAGGAGCTTATTTTTTAACCGCACAAACTACACCGAACTAACGATGGAGACGTTGGAAGGTCTAACTGCGGCAGTAGTGGACGGATTAGTAGGAGCCGGGAAAAAATTCTGCCTGATACTGGCAATCATTCCTGCGTAGTTGCATTATTTTTTTGTAAAATGTACTATGCCTTTAATGCCGCCATGATCGTCTGATTTAAATTATGTGCAAGAGAACTTGTTTATTCACCTCCTCATTATTGTTGATTTACGACAGGTTGCTTGTTTATGAACTAGCCATGGTGTATGGCACCTTGATCTGAGTTAGATAAATATCAATGTATATAAGTTTCCATGAGAGATGCGGGCTTACAATTCTTCTCCGCTATTTTTCCAGATTCGTTGAGTTCGCCAAAATCGTGAACAAGGATATTACCTCACTTACGAGGATGCAGGTAGAAGGGATCGACTGCATTTTAGAAGGCAGTAACGCAGTACTGAGGATGCCAACGGGGAGCGGCAAAACAATTTCTTAAATAACACCAGGCTTAATATCACCCCCCAAAATTGTTATTATATTGGTCCCATTAATATCCCTACTAGAGGACCTGTTCCTGTGGCTCCATAACAAAATCCACATTGTAGACCTGCGAAGGACAAAAATGACGTGGTCCAGCATCGCTGATTACAATGCCCTGATACGTAATGGAACGTCGATTTTCTTCCTTTCAACGCATGAAACTTTCCTCAGTCAAGGAAAGCTTCATGCGTTCCTGGAAAAAGCCCCCCGGAAGTGTCTTATGATAGTGCACGACGAAGCTCATACGGTCCCTTCCTGGGGGGTGGAATTTCGACCCTCTCTATTACGTGTCAGGGACGTAATTAAAAAGTTTGGAGTGGTCCAACATGTCTTCGTCTCGGCAACTCTGACGACGGGGGATATCCAATTTTTCAGAGGCATTTACGGGCTAGGTGACGTTCGGGTTATATCCGATATGTCACTTCGGAAAGAAATTTCTTATAAGGTCATTGATATCACTGACGTTTCAGCAAGTTATAAGTCGTTGGAGGGGGTAGAAAAAAATCCGCTGCCATTAATGAGTTACTTGCATTTCGCAGACTACCCCAACCAGCAATTAATAATTTTCGCTGAAAATATCAAAAAATTGGAGAAGCTGAGAGGAGCCTTTAAGGAATTAAATGTTGAGCCGGCAATATTTCACGGTAGCCTGACGGATGCCAGGAAGTCAAGTGAAATCACCAATTGGCTGAGTGGGGAACGTCAAATATTGCTAACTACAAGTGCTGTGTCGCTGGGTGTCAGCAATCCACGCTGCTCCGTGACTGTTCACCTGGGTCCATCTTCAAGTGTAAATAACTTTATTCAAGAGAGTGGCCGTGCGGGGAGGAAGGGTCAAGAGTCAACTTGTTTAGTGATTCTTGACTCCTCCTTCACGTACAGGAAGATGTGCAGATCGATTGAATACAGGCAAAGTTTAGACTTGAAGTTGTACAATGAAATTAAACCAGGTACAACATCCAAAGGCAACAATCAGCTGTTGGCGTGGTATGTTGTCACTCAACGACACACCTGCATTCAACAGGTTTTAATAAAATCGATAGACCCCAGCGCCACTCCTGACAAGTGCGGTAAGTGCTCGAATTGCACGAGTACGGTGCAATACGAGCACTTGCAACTTGAACGTCCTCTGAGAAATTTATTGCTTCACGTCAGGGAGGTTGAGGACAGGAGGGGTGCATGCGTTTTGGCAGTTGCAAAATTCTTTGCAGTGGCGTGGCGTGAATAATCGATTATCGATATCTCGCCATTTGAAGCTACGGTAAAGAATCGATTACTAAGGTGTTCGCTGCGAACACCCTGATAATCGATCTTTTTTCACAGCTTTAAATGGCATAACAATCGATATATCGCAATTCACGCCACGCCACTGTTACATACGTTGTATCGGATTTTGAAAAAAAAAGAACCAAATCCTCACGACTTTGCCCGAAAACGGATTATTCCGTTTCTACGATATTAAATTGGTGCTCCATGGCCTGTGCGATCTGATTATTCGAGGCATTGTAAGATTGCAATTCAGCCTGCACCCCGAGGAGAAAACCCTGATTGGCTGCCATTTGGCAATGCACCGGTAGGTTATTATGTGCAGGAGAACTCGTCTATTAACACCCTTCTTCTTGTTAATTAGCGAGCAGTTGCTTGTTAATGAACAAGTAGGGTTCATGTACATCAACGATGTGCTGCTTGTTCATGAACAAGCTGCACCCATCTTCTTGTTAATTAGCGAGCAGTTGCTTGTTAAAGAACAAGTAGGGTTGATTGAATTCAGAAGTAAAGAGATAAATTATGGTATTTTTCTACTATCTTCTACTTCTATTCTCAGACAACAACCGAAGAAAAGGAAAGAGACCATTCAGTAAAACTTCCGTTTCACCTGATGCCAAAAAAAAGGTCATCCAAACCACAAAATCTTCTGCACCCCATTCGACACTAAAAGTATCCTTTCAATGCTTCACGGCTCAACTAATCACGATTCTAAAGTCCGGATTGACGGAAGCCCCCTGCTTCTTACGTGAGAAGTTCCTGAAATAAGTAGTCTACTGCGAAAGTTTTTACCGATCCTTTCTGTGTTCTTAACTGACCATGAATCTAGCCACCGCCAAGTACTTACAAAGTGCTTCACTTCGAATTTTCGAACTTTGGATTACTTAATACGGTATCATCGCATTGAAGTGATTCATGATTTTCAACAGCAAGTGGCTCTTTGCAAGGCGAAAAAGACGTTGTTTTCCTTGCGTATGTGTACCTGAGGATACAATAACAATAAGACTTTCGACGATGCGGACACGCCATGGACGTTCATAACGTCCGAAACACGTCTTCATGACGTTTCTCGAGGATTGAATTCTTTGCCCAAGAAATATACGTATAGGCATATTGGGATATGGTACCAAGAAAATGCTCCGTATAGATCACTTGATGTTAGTATTCAGTTTGTTTCAAAATAAGTATAAATAAAAAGTTCCAAAAATTAGTGATTATGTTGGTATATCAATTTTGTTTGTTCGTTTGTTTGTTTGTTTGTTTGTTTGTTTGTTTGTTTGTTTGTTTGTTTGTTTGTTTATTTGCTTGTTTGTTTGTTTGATTGTTTGTTATTTCGTTGGATTCCCGATACTTATAAACTTGCGAATAAAAAACCAGGTATGAACAAACATTTCATTTTCATTAAATTAGACTTCAATCATTGATGATACCAGATTATAGTGAGGTGGGCTCAAAAATAATTAGTTTCCCAATCACAAATTTAGCTGAATCAGGGGCCACTGCTGCCAGAGGTAAGGAGATTCTGAAAGCTTATTTAGAAGAACACGAAATTCCAGGTAATTCTAAATGTTTAGTTTTTATAGGTACCAACAATGCAGTTAGAGATTGGGATAATTTTAGGGAACAGTGTAGGGCTTTGCTGGAAATAGTCAGGAAGAATTTCACTAGTAGTAGTGTCTTAAGTACAATGGCTCAGACAGGAGAAATGGTTTTCTTCATAGGTGATAGCCAGGTGCGACGAATGAGCCAAAAGCACAAATTTCCTTTTCCAATTCCAAGTTTAGCCGAATCAGGGGCCACTGCTGCCAGAGGTAAGGAGATTCTGAAAGCTTATCTAGAAGAACACGAAATTCCAGGTAATTCTAAATGTGTAGTTTTTATAGGTACCAACAATGCAGTTAGAGATAGGGATAATTTTAGGGAACAGTGTAGGGCTTTGCTGGCAATAGTCAGGAAGAATTTTACTAGGATTTACATTTGCAGGATTCCCCCATTCCTTATTTAGGTGCAGACGTCAACACCTTAATTAATAATTGGAATCGGTGGTTGAGAAGCCAAGTCGGGAACTTTAGGCATTATTCTATTCGAGTTCTTGACACTTACAAGCCATTTGTTGATTCTCGTGGTACGCCCATTGAAACCTATTTCGAACAATGGTATATGAATAAAGAAGAAAAGCGTTATCGCTCTGATCGATAGCACTTGAATGCAGATCGCTTGCAAGTGGTCCGGGATGAGATAGGGATGTCCATTCTTTGTGAATATTAGGCTAGTTTCTCAAACTCCTGCTTCTCTTCATAATTAGGCTGATCAGGTTCTTTCTCATTTTCCTTTTTATTTTTCTCTTATCAAGCCAGTCATATAGTTTCCCTTTCATGTGTGCCATGTAATATCTTTCAGGAGTAGGAAGTCGGTCAAATTCACACAGTAATATACCTATCTATGTTCTAAGTCTGTTTTCAGGTGCTCCGGTAAGAAGCGGAAGCAAGGTCCTGACAAATAATGAAACACCATGAACCAGGAGAATTTGTTTATTTGTTTATTTACTTGTTTATTTATTTTTTAATCTACCTTCATTTTCTTTTCTTAAGTATCTTCAAGTATTTAGTCTTCCAATGTTTTTTTGCAATTTCATTCTGTAGAAAAATCTGCGTACGCTGCTGGGTCTCACTATATTAAAGTGATGACGTATTTGTTGATTTTCAGTTAGGCACTGATAATGTGCGGACATCTCAAGTTAAGGAGTTCGCAAGAGTCGAAATTCTCCATACGGTCTGCACACTAGCAATTTTTGCTTTTCTTTCAAGTAGTCATTCCGGACTAGCTGTCTAGTGCAATTTTTTTTTTTTTTTTTTTTTTTTTTTTTAAATTTTAACATTTAATTTTTCTTTCAGGCAACCTTTCAAATTGAAATGTTCTAGTCTTTAGATTTAACGCAGCACAGTTACCATGTGTGAATGCCCTCCTGTAAATATGTTGTTCCAGGAAAATTCATATAAGAAAACAAACCAAAAAAAAAAAAAAAAAAAATTCAAAAAATTAAGTAGGAAAACTTCAAAAATAACCATCTCTGTGCATTTCAAGATTCGTTCTAATTGATTTTATTTTTAGTTTTTTGCAGGCATTGCAGCTGGGAACCAGATAGGAGTTATCAGAAGAGGAGGAGTTTTTCAGTGAGTTGGAATCTCACACTGCCATATAGCAATAGCATGGCGCCTTTTGAAGGGGTTTCCCCGCCGCAAAAAAAGCCAACATTAGAGGTAACTTTATTGCATACTTATTTAGTAGTATTTTTTTTTGTCTAATTTGCATGATCTTGCCTGGAACGAATGTTCATTAAGAGGTAATATTTTCTCTAGGGTACCTACTGTAATAGTTAAGTTCATTAGTTCGTCACCATGTCTATCTTCTCATCTCGTTAGGAAAACGAAGAGAGAAAGCTCTTTACCACTGGTTAAAGATAAGTCAAGTTATTTTCTTTATTCCAAGTGGAAAAACTGAAAATAGAATTCTATGCAGGCAAAACAAAACTTGGCACTGAAGTTTCTAACCGAAAAGTTTGGCGAAAAGTTTGACAACGCGGTGTTTAACTCTTTCATACTCGAAGCTTCAAAAATGAGTTAACTCCGAGTTATTGCCTGGGTGCAACACTCATGATTGATGGTGTGTGCGAGAGCTCAAGTGATAAATAATTCGGGTAACAGTGAGAACCTCGCCTCCTGTTGTCGCGGCGCAAGTGCTCAGAAAGGCGTCGCCTCCGAGATGAGGTGTACGCTCTGTTTCATATTCATTGGAGCCTGCACAGACCGGAAGAGAGAAGCTGGATGATTCGGCCACACTTTGCCATCTCAACTGCATAATGTATCTAGGGGAACACTTCATCAAAACTCACGTATTCATCGTCGAACAAAGAAATAAGCACATGTAATTTTCATCAAACAACTACTCAAAAGGGGATTTTCATGCTCATTCAGCTATTATGAGCTTGCACTATCCTTAAAGTTATAATGTGTATAATTAATGTAAAGCAAATTTGTCTTTAAATGGGAGTGAAATTTAAAAGAATTCATTCAAAACGTGATACGTATTGATAATCAGATTGCGCTATTAACGCACAAGTAAGCACGAGAGTATACCCAACAATGAGTTTCTCCAGGTATTTTATTTCTCAAAAAGTATATCGTAGAAAAAGCAAATCTGTGTAGAGGGTTTTGTGCATCATACATTCAGATTTGCAACAGGCTAAAGTTGCCGGGATATTTAACTCTTTCTGTTAATCTGCACCCGAATACAATATACAAATGGTGCAGGGTTGTTGACGGGAATCCCAGCTTCACGGAAGAAGCATTAAAAGATTAACGAGAAAAGTATGCATTCACTGACGGCCCAGTCTTTGGCTCACTGATAATTGACGGAATGAGTATTCGGAAAAATGTTGAGACAGATGGGACACACTATCATGGTTTTGTTGATTTTTGAGACGGGTTAAATGCAGATGACGCACCCTTAGTACCCAAAGCTCTGATGATAATTATCCCCTTACAGTAACGTTAGGCAAGTAATAGAAGATTATCCCTGCTTTCCCTTGACCCATATCGGCACCCGGCGACCGATGTCCCTTATAGGGCTCCAGTTTTGGCAAATTCCTTGCCGATTTCTTATCACAAAAATTAGTTTCCCCCAAAAAGGTTTCTCCCGAGAAATATTTTTCCTGTCCTGGGGAAAGAATGAACCTTCTCCAGAGAAAGTTTATAGTTTCCTGGGGGAAACTAATTTTTCTATCTGTTTTCTATCTAATTTGTCTATCTGTCCGGATGGCTACCAAATATTCAATTTAATTCTTTGCTGGTTCTCTGCGGTTTATAATTGTTCCCAGTAGTGCCACCGGTAAGTGTTTATGGACTTAACATCCGCCACTCCGATGCATTCTTCCTCTTTAACTTTTCAGAGTGAAACGGGAAC